CGAGAGCCTTCAAATCACATGGACTCATTCCCACCTGCCCAAACACACACCGACCGTCAGCCCCGGGTGAGCACGCATTTAAGCATGCGTGGGCACGTTACTGATACACGTGCACATATCTGAGAATACGGTGAGTGGTGGCAGTTGTCATCGTCCCGCAGCCCCTCCCCTCGGAAGCCACCGGACAGCCCCAGCCAGGCCTGTACCCATCCTCCATGAGCAGATGCCGGAAGAAGTCATTGGCTGCCAGCTTGATGGCCTTCTCTGGGGTGACCAGGGTCAGGTTCACAGCAGCCCCTGGGATGGACAGAAGCATGGTGTGAAAATGCAGAACAACGTCAGCGCCCAGGCTCTCCCAGGTACACCAGCTCGAGTCTGCCGCTCGACCCTACACCCACACCCCCACGGCGTCCCTAAGTGTCTGGGACAGTGGTTCTCAACCTTCCCTTTCATACAGCTCCTCATGTGGTGGTGACCCCCAACCATGAAATTATTTCTGTTGCTACTTTATAATTTTGCTAGTTATGAATCGTCATGTAAATATCTGAGCAGGATATATTTTCATTGTTGCAAATTGAACAGAATTAAGGCATAGTGATGAATCACAAAAAACGAAATGTCATTATATATTGTGAAATGTTTATTCCTAATGACAAATAAATGAAACTTTGATTTGAAGCACGGTTTAGCATGGGTAACAATCTTCACGCCAGGTCTTTGTAGGTGGGCGTATCTGCAGGTGGGCGGACCTGCCTGGAAACGGATAGAGGAGCGGTGTCTCCGTTCCTAAGACCACGGAATTATGTGTTTTCCGATGGTCTCAGGCGACCCCTATGAAAGGGATCGCGACCCACAGGTGGAGAACCGCTGGTCTAGGCGAACTGAAAGCTTGTTTTTCTCCCACAGAAGAGCCGGTGGGTTTGAACAAGGACCTAGCAATTAGCATGCCCATTCCTCCCAGCTCTCAGCCCTAGCCCGAGCCTAGGGGTGAAGGCAGCCTCGGGCCCAGGAGGACGCCTCTGGCCGATTTCATTGAGACATAACTCTGCTTCACCTTCACCCCATCACATTTCCTGCTGTCCTTTGTCTTGATGGGCTCGCTAGTCCGGCCGTTGTCCCCAACGGTCCCCACAGCGCGCTGCCCCTGTTCCACGGGGGCACCAGCCACACTGCAGCTTTGAGGGTCCCAGAGAGCAACTTCCCAACTTAATCACGGCCACAGGGCCCTGGATGGGGACCCTGGGCCTAGTCAGGGAGGGTCTGCCTCACAAGGGCCCCACAGAGACTCCCGCCTTTCCACTGTCTAGGCCTCTCAGCCCCTGCCTCCCCCAGCTCTCATTGCTGGGGGCCGCTGGGAGCCCCAGGGCCCTGGGAAGAGGTAGAGCAGCGGTTCTCAACCTGTGGGTCGCGACTCCTTTGGGGGTCGAACAACCCTTTCACAGGGGTGGCCTAAGACTATCGGAAAACACATAAAAATTTCACAATATATAATTACATATTGTTTTGTGATGAATCACTATGCTTTATGTTCAATTGTTAACAATGAAAATCCATCCTGCATATCAGATCATCACATGATGATTCATAACAGTAGCAAAATTACAGTGATGAAGTGGCAACGAAAGGAGTTTTATGGTGTGTGGGGGGGTCAGCACCACAACATGAGGAACTGTATGAAAGGGTCGTGGACTTAGGAAGGTTGAGAACCACTGAGGTAGAGGAAGGAGATGGGAGGGAACTAGGAAAGGTGAGGACGGAGGTGAGGGAGGGAGAGTGGGTGCTGGTACCTGAACTGGAACCCAGGGCTCCAGGCTCCCATGCTTGCTGGTGCCCCCTAGAGTCCCACCAGGAACCACAAGGGCACCACCAGGCCAGGGAAAACCCGCTGTAGGGCAGGGCCCCCCACCAGGCCAGCGCCCCGCAGCCTCTCCTCCCTGGGACCCACCTCGGTACATGCCCAGGAAGCCCTCGGCCCGGGCTGTTTTCAGCAGGCAGTCCACCCTGGGGAGCAAGAAGCGAGCGGTGAAACATGTCTACTGCCCCCACCAGCCCCCTCCCTGCCCCTATGACACCCCCAGTCTCCAGCCCCACACCCCCTCCTCACAGCCCTGAAGGAACTGGAAAGGCTGGGGCTTGGAAGGGCCTGGGGTCATCCTCCCCCCTGATCTCCCACCAAGACCTACATTCCTTTGTAGACGTCACTCCCCTGTTGGTTTTGCAGCCGAGTCTTGGCCAGGTCGATGGGGAACACGCACGTCACCCCCACGAGCCCTGCCACACCGCCATTGATGAGCTTGGCTGTGATGCTGAGGGGAGCGGAGGTATGGAGGGAGGGGGCCGGGGGCAGAGAGAGGACAGATTGGGGTGGGGGGCAGGAACAGGCCCCTAGGACCTCCCGTCACACCCATCCGGTGACTCCCCTCTCCACCCCCAGCAGCTCCTGGCTGGCCTCCCTCCTGCAGGCTCCAGTCCAGAGGCAGGATACCAGGGTCTGGTCAGCCCACCTGTGCCCGACTGCACTCACTAGGGCCGAAGCATCCCGCTCCAACCTGAAGAGGAAGTGCTCTCCAGCCAAGCTGCTGCAGGGACTGATGGGAAGGAGGTCCCCCCTCGAGTCCCAGGGGGGCACAGGGACCACTTGACACTGGAGGCCAGGGCAGCAGAGGCCCCGCCCCGAGCAATCGTGGGGAAGATGGCTATCAAACCAACGGCCATTCCTCGGTTCCCGCAGAATGGAGTTGGGGTTTGCCTTGGGCAAGTGACCTCACTCCGCGCCTCCGCTCTCCGCAGGAAAGCTCTGCAAGCCAAGCTGTTATCGCTACTCACTCAGAACCAGGCCTTTCTGATAACCCGGGCTCCTCGTCAGCTCGGATCAGGGATTCTCGAATGTTAGCCCAAAGTTAATTAACTTGGAGGCCCCTTCATCCTGGCTAAGGATAGGATCTTTTTTTTTTTTTTATCATTTTATTAGGGGCACATACAACTCTTATCACAATCCATACACACAACAATCGTGTAAAGCGCATTTGTGCATTCATTGCCCTCATCATTCTCAAAACATTCCCTCTCCACTCAAGCCCCCGGCATTAGGTCCTCATTTTTCCCCTCCCTCCTGCCCTTGATAAATTATAAATTGCTATTTTGTCAGGATAGGATCTTTTTAAGAAGACTTAAAACAGACAATTCAGCATCCTCAGACTCCAGGGAATCTAGGAAAGCGTCCCTATCTTGCAGGCCAGAGGCCCATCTGTCTGCGGAGGTCCAGCTCCTGAAGTGCTAAGAGCAGGAAATACAGTCCCCGCTAAACTGACTGTGCCCCCCTGGCCGGCACGCACTTTGCAGAGGCCTATAACCTGCAACCTACTAAGATGCATTCCCAACCATTGCACATCTGTCGCCATGTAGCTTCCCCTTTGGAGAAAAGGGGCCTCGCTTGCCCCTCCCCACTCTCCCCACTCCGGGCTAGCACTCCAGGATCTGGAGGCAGAGGATGTGCTGTTGCCACAGCAACCCCAAACCTGCCCCCAAAGGGCTGGCAGTCCCATGAACTTACTTCAGATCCTGGTTGGACATTCTGGGGGGCCGCTGAGGGCTGGGGCGCCCAGGCTGGTCGCAGCTCAGAGGTGGTAGCTGTCCTGGACGGCCGACTGAGGGGAAGAAGCCATGTCATCTGCTTGGCTCCAGCCCTCCGTGGCCGTGGACAGAGCATGAGGGGTTGGAGAGAAGCCCAGCCTGGCCACCCACTCACTGGCTTTGAGATCCTGGCAAGTCACAACCTCCCTGAGTGGCCGTTTCCATGTCCACAGTGTGGGCAGAGCCACAGCACCTCCAGGATGCTCAGGCCCGTACGTGGTGGAGCAAAGCAGTGCTGTGGCCTTCATGCGACCGTGAGCTTTGGGGAATAGGGGTGGAGAATCACAGTGAAGGGGAATATGGGAGAGTGGGATAGGAGGCACAGGATGCTGGAAGGGACTGGGTGGGGAGCGGGCATTTCAGAGGGAGGCGGAGCTTGGGAGTAGTTGTGGCAAAGGATTAAAATTGCGTGTGTGTGCGCGCACGCGCGGTCAAGCATTAAATCTGCCATGGGCCTCACTGACACAGCAGGGACCTTCAGGCGCAGACTGTGGTGGACTACGAATTCCCCTTCCGGTGTTGGAAACAGACCTACAATAAAATACTTGAGTGGCTCTGAAGTTACTTTTTTGGCTCTTCAATTATGTTTTCAGAACGTCACAGGACTCAAGAAAAGGGGCACCGAGTCTCTGAATTTTCAAAATAATCGTTAGATTTAGAAAGCTGCCAGCCAGTCTGCAGAAAATGAAAGCGGCAATAGCAATGACTATTTCTGCTTCTGAGAAGGGTCTCCCTGGCACCCGGAGGGCAGGCGCAGGGGCTGGTGTCTGAGGCAGGCCCAGCTCTGAGAAGGAAGGCTGCCCCGGCGCTGCCCTCCCCGCTGCTCCACCTCCCGTTGCCACCGGCTGCCAGCAAGTCTTTGTGTACTTTGGAGGAGGGAAAGAGCCAGAGAAAAGGGAAAGACAGTCTTCCTCTGTCTTTCCCTCTTCCTTCCTTCCTTCCTTCCTTCCTTTCCTCCCTCCCCACTCCCCATGGCGGTCATAGAAATCCCCTCAGGACAGAAACGTCTTGAGTGGCTGGCCCGGCTCTGTGTCTGGCGTGCTGCCACCGCATGGAGTCCATTCTCACCCGACAGAGTAGAGCTTTGGGTTTTTGACACCGAACACCTTCACAGGGTCAGAGAGCCTCCCTCCTTTCTCCAGCTGGCTTTGAAGCACTGCCTTTTTGTTGGCGGCCCAGCCCCCAAGCCACCATGCCTAAGCCACCATCCTAGCCCCTCCTCTGGGGATGGAGCAGTGGCCAAAGACTAGAATCCCACTTCTTACAGCGGCCCACGCGCGCAGGAGTCAAACAATAAATAAGAACGCCTTTGGCGTGTCAAGAGTGATTAATGCCATGAAGAGAAATACTCAAAGGGGGATAGGGCATGACAATCAATGGCTGTTGCGGGGTGGGGGTGGGGGTTGGGGCTTGACCAAGGGAGGAGGTATTGAGGTGACTTGGGAGGGTCAAAGGAAGGGAGGGAGCAGACTTGCCGATTCCGTGGGGGTGAACACTAGAGATACAGCACGTGCAAAGGCCCTGAGAGCCGGATGAGGCCAGGCCGAGTGGGCAGCAGAGTCAGAGGCCTGGCCCTGTAAGCCAGTCACTCCGTAAACAGAGTCCTGCCTGGGGACAGACAGGGTCATTTTGACAGCTGAGATGAAGAGTCGGCGGGGCGAGAAGCGGGGAGGAGGAAGACCAATTGTACGACACTGACCTGGGCAGGAGGCAACGGCTGCTTAACCTGGTGGTGGCAGTGGGGTTGGTGAGAAGTGGTTACATTATGGGCACATATACAAGGGAGGGGAGCCCCGGTGGCTTAGTGGTTATCAGCTGGGTTGCTAATTGCAAGGTCAACAGAGGGACCACCAGCTTTAGTGCTCTCATCAACAGTGCCGGTCTTGGAAACCCTCAGGGGCAGGCAGTTGTACCCTGTCCTATAGTTGGGCTGTGCGCTGCATGTCCTGTAGCTCCACAGGAGAAAGGCTGGGCTTTCCACTCAGGTAAACAGTGACAGCCTCCCACAGGGGAAGCCCACAGGGGAGCCCTAGATTGGCAGCGAGTTTAGAGTTTTATAGGGGTCACTAAGAGTCAGCATGGACTTGATGGCAGTGAATTTGTTGTTATTGTTTTCCCCCCGGCTGTTCTTTGATGTAATCAATCTTAGTGATTATTATTACTCAATTAATAGGCTGTTCTGAGAGAAATGCATGCTCTAACTGTAGGGAGCTGTCTTAAAACCTGAAAGGAAAAACAGGGCACCTTGGTCACCTTGTTCAAAGGAATCTTTTCTGACTGAAGCCACTGTGTGGGGAAATTGAGGAGTTCGTATTTTTCAGACAGTCTAAGACATTTGCAAGAAGCCAGGGAGATCCGATCCCAGGGCCACACTGGCCCCTGCAGTGAACAGATGAGAAGTAGCCTCCCTAAGGGTTGTGGGCGTGGTGGTGGGCAGGGGGGCACACTGCCACGCTCCGCCTCACGGCCCAGCTCCCAGAGACTGTGCCAATCCAGGCCGGGCAGTTCCCTGGAACAAACTTAGGTATTCAAACAGGATGACTTGACAAAATTCCTGGCACGGACAATGTGCTAGTAAACAGAGCCCCGAAGAACACGGTCCGAGCCAGCCAGCTCAGGTTGGAAAGGAGTCCTGCCCCCATGGCGGTCTAAAGCTTGAGGACTACGTGCTGGTCATTCCACAAAAATCTGCCGTGTGCCTACTATGTGCTTGTTCCAGGACTCGGGAACAGAAGCAAGGTCCCTGCTGCCATCGCCCTGTCTCCGGGTGCCAGCACTGAGAGGAGTGACATTTAAAGAGACAGCGTGCGCTCTTCTGCCACAGAGGCCAGGTGGATTCGAGAAATTCCAAGTTTATTCCTTGGAAGGAATTAAGTGGCCAGAAGGCAAGACTGGGCTTCTCCCCCTGGGCTGCTTCAGAGATCCAGTGAGAACCAGACACGTTATATACCCCCAAACTGTGGGGGAGAAATAATTAATAAGCCTTATGAAGACCGGAAGACCTTCGAGCAGGGGACACAGGGAGCAAGGTTCACAGGCAACACTTTACATTTCTCTGAGGAATCATCCGACCATCCACTGGCATCTTCCCTTTGCCAGGGGCCGTCAGACTGGCCCCTTCCCAGCTTTCAGTCTCTAGGTCCCCAGGCTCATCTCCATGGCCCAGCTGCCCCTTTCCTGAATTAGGAGCATCCTGAATCCTGAACAGGTTCCAAAGGAATCTACTACCGGGGAGGGAGCTACTGCATTCGGAATCCCTTTTAACAAACGATGTTACACTTCCAATCACGATTCACGGCAGGCTAACGCTGGCAGTTCCCTGTATCACTGCATGAACTACAGGCTCTCAAAGATGCTGGCCAAAGGAAAGTCGTCCAAGAATCAGGCCCTTGGGGCAGCCATGCTGCTTGGCTAAGAAACTTACATCCCAGCCAAGGGGTTTTGTAAAGACTGAGGCCCTCAGTAAATAGCTGGACCCATCATCCAAGGACTCGTAGCAACCCTCTAGGACAGAGTAGAGTGGCCCCTCGGGGTTTCTGAGACTGTAAATCTTCACAGGGGTGGTTGGTGGGTTCGAACTACTAACCTTGTAATTAGCAGCTCAGTGCGTAGCCACTCAATCGACTCCATGGCAGTGAGTGAGTGAGTGCAAACCCACCCAGTGGCTCTGAGAAGAAAGTCCTGGTGAGCCTCTGTTACCTGTGGAGTCCTGGTGGTGGAGTGGTTACGTTGGGCTGACATCCACATGGTCGGCAGTTTGAAACCACCAGCAGCTCCGTGGGAGAAAGACTGGGCTTTTCTACTCCCCTACACTGTGACAGTCTTAGAAACGCACCGGGGGTCGCAATGAATTAGCATGGACTCAGTGGCCATGAGTGTTTTGAGCTGTGAGTTGAGAACCAACTCCAGCCACCATCATTCAGGCGCACTCGATGCCTTGGCGGTGGATCTGGGCCAGGAGCTTCCTTCCCTTCTTTCCAACATGGACCGAAGAGGAGCTTCCTCAAGACTCTTCAGAAACAAAGTAGAGACAAATGAGGAAACCAAACAGCACCTCGGACTTGGATCACAGAGGTTCCGTGCCATTGTCCCCAGATGCACGCCCAGTCACGACCTTGGTGACGTCACTCTGGGAAGACACGTGTTTACCGTGCAACACGGGACAATGAAACTACTAAGAGGAAGAAATTTCGGTGCCCGGCCAACAGGACGTGCTTGCCTGTCCGCAGCCCTCCGATGACCACTCGGACTGGCCAGCTACTGTTTCTTTCCCGCTCTCCCTTTCCGGGCATTGCCCCTCCCCTTTCCCAGTCTCTCCAGTTACATGGGGAGCTGCCGGATTCCTAGCATTTGACCCTGTCCCCTGACCAGTGGTGAGGGTCCTAAGGTTGGATGTCTGATTCCAGCTCAGCTCATCAACACTTGCCAGAGGAATTTCAAGAGAGATTTCTCAAAGAGCTTTCATCTGTCACATATAAACCTTGGGACTTGTCAGCAGTCCGGCCAGCTGCCGTTTGGTTTAGGAAACGGATGATTTGTAGCAAAAAAATTAAATAAATAAAATAAATAAAAGCAAATTCCAAAATGCTAAGGAGGAGAAAATTCTAGTTGCACTTGAAACCCCGATTACATAGTGATCTATTTTTTAAAAAAAA